TGTGTGTGTGTGTGTGTGTGTGTGTGTGTGTGTGTGTGTGATTGTCTTACTTCAGGGGAGCTGCTCATGTTGATCATAATGAGCTGAGGTGACTTCATGGAGATCTGGCCCAGATGGTTCAGGGGGAACTTCCCTTCTCGAGTTGTCACCACGATGTGATCCAAAGACCCTGAATGAATACCGATCAGAGGAGGTGTTTGTTTATTTATCAGCCACCACATACACACACACACACACACACACACACGTTTTTTCTATCCCCGTGGGGACCTTGCATTGACTTCCATTCATTTTCCAGTCATTTCTATAGTCTAAACCTCAATTCACACCTTAGTCCTAAACCTAACCTTTGACCTGCCAACGGTTATTTCTCTTGATGGGGAGCGGGCTTTTGTCCCCATAAGGAACAGTGGGTCCTCAACAGGCTGTCCCAAGAAAATGGTCAAAATTTGTCCCCATCAGGTAGCAAAAACATGTACACACACAGACAGAAAAAAAACTATATTGTTTTGATCTAAAACAAATTATGTTTGTTAGTTGGATTAAATTGTGACAGAACTATTCAATTTCACTAAAAATTATTTTTTATTTCGACCGACTTTTGTCCGTTTCCATGTTAAATCAATCCTAAACTGAAAAATGACTCTTAAACATCGACTGTTTTAAACTTTTGTTCATCTATAATAACATGGTCAAATGATCTCCTCTAAATMCTCTATCCTTTGTTTCCAATGACCTGCGGTGTCCAATCCTCTCTATCATGCATATTTTACTTGTTCCTCTGCTCCAACACACCTGATTCAGTGATTGAATTACCTCTTCAAGTTCTGCAGAAACTTTTACAGAATGTCAGAAAGTCTGGAGAACTGATCTAGACCATTTTTAAAGATACGGTACAAGCAAGTCTGCTCCTTTTGTTTCTGTATTTTATTCTTGCTTTATTTGTTCTTTTATTGTTTCTTTAATTTATTGTGTTTTACTGTTTGATTTGACAGAATAATAAAGCACTTTTGTCAACTTCTGTTGTTTCTGACGTGCTATAAAAAAGGGGCATTGACACTACTCGCATGTTCAACAATGAGATATTTCCCAAAACACTCAGACCAACGATGGAGACGACATAGCTGAGCTGCAGAGCCACAAACCATAGAAGTAAACAAATAAGAGCACTATTAAAAGTTTTCATGATCTTTTATATCTCCTCACTTCGGTCCCACTGTCCTCTCGTTCATCTGGCTAACGTCAGACGCAGTGGTTTCCTTCTTCTCCACCTCTGCCTTACATCATCCCCTCCCTGCTTTTACCCCTCGGAGGGACTGCGTTGGTGGTGTGTGTGTGTGTGGAAATGTGAGGTGATGGGGAGGTGAGCCAGAGGCGTAATTTTCTCAAAAAGGTCGATTTTTCATCTGATTTCAAAGGCCAAAAAAATAAAAATAAAAAGGAAGACATAGCGATCAGATTCAACGCAGATGAAAAACATTAGAAATAAACAGGCGAGGAGGTGAATCCTGGCTGCATCACACGGCTATACCAACTTTATCCTTAACGCCACATATCCGATTGTTAGAGGTCAGAGGTTAAGCCCTTATTTCTGACCCTCGACTTGTCTGTCTGTTACTTGTGTGTGAACAATAAGCACACAGATCTGCTTCAGCAGACAGAGGGAATTGAAGTGGGGAAACTTTTGTCAGACATTAGTAATCTGACTAAACTTTTTTTCTCTGTCAGTATTATTCACATTTTTCCATACAGAAGTTGTCTTTCTTTTTTTAAAAACTACAAACACAATAGATCATTTCGTAGTTAGAACTTATCACAAATGAACATTTGCACAGCGAAGCCTAACTTTTCCAGGTCACAGGTCAACAGGATAAAAGCTAAGGTTGCTTTTGGAATTATGCAAACTCAATAAGCTCAGAAAGCACATTTAGCAATTTATGAAAAATCACATCAACAAAAAAGGAAGGTTTAACACAAATCAGTTTAGAGCAAATACATTGGGTCTGTATGAACATATGATGAAAAACTTGTTACAGTTCAGTAGAGGGGGTTATAAGAAGCTTTAGATCCCCTCTACCCCGCTGCAGTCATACTCACCCATTCACCTGCACCTTCAGGACAAATTGAGATCGCAACATATATAAGCTTATTATTTTATTTATTACTTATTCACTTATACAAGCTTTATTATTTTATTTTATTTATTAC